TTTGAAAACTTGCTAGGTTTTCTCAGACATGCAGGTTTCCTCACGATGTTTTCCTTCACCGTAAAGCAAGTGGTAATCATGTTAGAAATATATTAATACCTATACCTAATACCTACTGTGGCCAGTGTTAATAGTTGGTGCTATCTACGTTTTTTATATAAAATGTTTGTAAGAATTGATGTATGTTTGTTACTCTGTCACGCAAAAACTACTGAATGGAATTCAATGAAACTTTGCAATAATATTGCTAATACATCAGAATAACACGTAGGTTACTTTTTATCCCGAAAAATGTACGGTTTCCGTGGGGTAGATTTGTTTTTGTGTTTTTAGAAGCGAACCCGAGCGAAACGAGGGTGAGCCGCTAGTTATATTTATATAATAACGTCAGTTATTTATTTATTAACTTGTACCTTTGTACCTCTTGAGCCAACATTATTTTTTCTAAAATTTATTAGATTTCGTCTACGTAAGAATATATTAAGTATGTATGTATGTATGTTGGAATTTAGGTCGCACTTGTATCAACTTTTACTTTAACATCATGCAAACTAAATTTCGTTAGTACCAAAACTGAAGTAAATATAATAAAGTAAAATACGAGGTATGCTAATCCATCTCCGTCTTCGTTTCGTATAATCATCTCAAAGTGGAGATATTGATAAATGAATTTATTACAGCTTGAGACAATTGTGTTATGGAATGACGTTAAGAATTTTGGAGTGACAAATTCATTTTTAGGAACTATGTACATCTTAAAATCGGAATAATTAATTTTGATCTTAATTATAATCTATACTCTATACAGATAAATAAAATTGAAGTGTCTGTTTGTAATGTCAAAATAATATCTTTTTAGTAAATGCATATGGAATTATATATACCGTATGTATGGTATTTATAAGAAAAACAAAGTTTTTAAAATGTTTGTATGTCTGTTTGTTCCGATTAATCTCCGAAACGACTGGGCCGATTTTGACGGGACTTTCAATGGCAGGTAGTTGATGTTATAAGGAGTAACTTAGGCAACTTTTATTTCAGTAAAAAATACGGAACCCTATTTTCCCTCCCCTCAAAAAAAAAAGAGTGAGTCGCTAGTTATTATATATACATATTGTCAATTTGCTTATTTTTTTAGTTACATGTATTATATAAAATAATATCTCTACTCTCGTTTGATGAGAAAAATTCGATATCTCCAAAAATATGTTCATGCGATATTGCATACTCAATGTATCTCAAAAATTTTATAACATGCAATTTATTTTGGATATGATAAATAATTCACTTTATGTACAAATTTAAAAACTTATATATACCTCATATTCACAAAATAAGTTTCCAAATAGGGGGAGCAAGATAAATTGCTTAGTGGAACATAAACTGACAATGACTTATACTCCTCTCTCCCGATGGGTATAACGAAAAACTTTCTGTTCATAAATTTTTCTTTTTTTTTTTTTTGGTTACGTAATAATTGTTATTATTGAACATCCATACACACACTTTTTGTAAAATATAATAGAAATGTACGTTTTAACGTTTAGTATCAAATACAAATCTTTGAAATTCTCGGCTTTTCGAAGCAAGGATGATTCGCTAGTCCGAAATAAATTAGTTATATTACATTCAGAATTACAATTTCAATATGGCTAAAACATAATATAATATCAAAGGCGTACAAATTATCAAGTGTTTCATTAAAATATTAATATAGCGATATCACTGAAACTCCCATATGGTATATTTGTTTTGGGCAGTTGTTGTGTATTGTTTGTTCAGATTTTGTGAACAATAAAGCTCTCGTTATAGAACAATATAGTTTCGGTAGTTAAACTACAGTAGTGGGTGTGTACAAGAGACTTGATTGGTACAAATGTACATTTTTGTTTCTATAATTCAAATTTTTGGTATATATTTGAATGTTGCTTTATTTTATTTGAATGCAGTTGATGTAATGGGAATTTTTCTTTATAATACTATTTTTTACCTTTTTTCTCTAGTTATGATAGTTTAAGCCATAATTAATATCATTAAAATACCCAAAATCCATGTATATTATGATAGATGAGTAAGTATGTACATATTTATAAGTAAACTAGCGGCCCACCCTCGCTTCGCTAGGGTTCGTCGCTGGGTACGTTCTAAATATATATAAAAAGTTATTAGCCAGCGTTAGCCATATAAATTTTATAATTTTCCGCGCAATTTTTTGCTTTTTTTCTTTCATAAGAACCTTCTCCTGACAATAACAAACACAACAAAAAAATAGTTAAATCGGTCCAGCCGTTCACGCGTGATGGTGTGACCAAGGGAAATAGGGATTCATTTATATATATATATATGTATATATATATGTATATATATATATATATATATATATATATACTAGCGGACCCGACAGACGTTGTCCTGTCTACACGTCTTTAATTTGAAAATTTAAAATTTTTTTTAATAAGCTAAAACATTCTGGACCATTTTGATGAAAATTATTATTCAAATTGTGAATCTAAACCATTCCCAGATCCCCTTGAACACACACAAAAAATTTCATCAAAATCGGTCCAGTCGTTTGAGAGAAGTTCAGTGACATACACACTCACACAAGAATTATATATATAAAGATATATAGATATATCTAGCTTAGAATACTCCCTTAATTACTTCTATCTACTGTATCTAACTTTAGATTAAAGGATAAGAAAATTTATTTACTTATAATTAAGTTAATCAAACTTCAAGATCTATTTGAAACATCAAACCGCAAATAATAAGAAAAGAAGAACTTTCTATCTGAAATAATATTAGTTTGCTTCGTTTGTTTTTGTTATATTTGCTGACATACTTTTATATTTTTACGAAAACTGAATATGTTCTTATTAAAAAAAAATTGTTATGATAATCGCTATTTGCGCAAGCTATTTGATATTTATTTGTTTATATATATTTAGCAATAATTTTTATATTCATTGGTTGAAATCTCTAACTTATCCGACTCACACTTGGCCTTTTTTTGTTAATTGTTTGTTTACATTAGAATTTTATTAAGAAATATGTAAACGTTTGAGTAATGCATATTACTGATAAAAAATGCAACAAATTTAAATAATATCTTAAAATACACTTTAATTTTTTAATCAAATTTATCTAATATCTGTCATCATATTATTAGTTTTTACTAGCGACTCACCCTCGCTTCGTTTCGGGTTCGTCCCTACTCCCTAGTAAGTGAAAAACAAAACAAATCTATCCCACGGGAACCGTACATTTTTCCGGAATAAAAAGTAACCTATGTGGTATTCCAGACTATAATAATCTATCTCTGTGTCAAATTTCGTCCAGATCCATTCAGCAGTTCTGGCGTGATTGAGTAACAAACATCCATCCAAACTTTCGCATTTATAATATTAATGGGAATAGAAAGAAGCGACCGTACGATAGGTACCCATTACGGTTCAAAAGATAAACTGTTCACATACTCGTAATAGAATCCGTTCTTGATTCTTTGGAAGATTACGAATGGGATCCTAAAAACCTAATCAGTCATCAGTGTACTGAAATATTTCTAATCAGTTTTATATTTCTACATTTCTTATTGAAATATATATATATATATATATATATATATATATATATATATATATATATATATATATATATATATATATATATATATATATATCATTAAAAAGAAGTAAGACCGCGCCGCAAGAGACATTAATTTATATCCCTGTCTAAAGCTCCAAATGGATCACTTTATGTAGTATCTTTAAAAATTACTGCAGTTAGCCAAAGTCACTGCAGACGCTTCAGTGCATTTGAAAAATTAACTGTCAGCTTTATACTTTTCTTGTAAAAGTATTTCAAAACCAAGAAAGAGATGGGATCAATTAAAAATATTTTAATTATGATTGATTACAAAGCACGTATGGTTATATTTGACGACACGTTTGGCTCAGTGTGTAGTGACCCTACTTGCTATGCCAGCGATTGCGGGTTCGAATCCCGCTGGGGGAATTCATTTGTGTGATGAGCACGAATGTTTGTACTCCAGTCATGGGTGTTTATATTTATCATATTTATGTATTTAAAGTTATATATATGTAGTGTATCAACTATCTGGTATCCATAACACTAGCCTCGTGATGTGTGTTAATGTCTCAACATATTTATTTATTATTATTTATTTATTTATATATTATGTTAGCTTTTTAGTCCATCTTCAACGATAGAATATTCCGACGTTTTATTCAGTGAAATTGATAATATTAATAAGAAATTGAAAGTGCTTTTTAAATTAAAAGAAGGAATTCTGTTATATAACAAGGTCACTATGGAGATTCACTATCCCGCATCTCTTATAATCTATCTTGTTATAGTTAGATTGGTCTATGGTTAGCTATCATTTACGACTGTAGATCCGGATATCTTGTATCTAGATATCGAGTTTCGGGCCGGGCCAAGTATTATTACCTGGTTATTGGGGTTTTCTGTAAATAAATTCAGTAACAGTTTAAAATTGGGGCGTCGAAGCGCAAAAATATACCTAAGAGGGAATTATCTTATTAAATTGTAATAATGCTAAAAGTGAATAAGATAAGGGAAATATGATTAAGGTCTGAGTTCTGACCTATCAAGAGCGGAAAGCTAGCTTAAATAAAAATTGTGGCTATCTTTCTCCAAATGAAAGAAAAATGTGTTAAAAGATTGCCTTATACATCACGCATACATATATTACATTAAGAACAAAAACAAATTTATCCCACGGGAACTGTAAATTTTTCGGGATAAAAAGTAGCCTATGTGCAATTCCAGATTATAATCTATCTCTGTACCAAAGTTCATTTAGATCCATTCAGCCGTTCTGGCGTGATTGAGTAACAAACGTCCAAACTTTCACATTTTAAATATTAGTAAGACTAAGATGAATTCATCTATAAATTCACATAACATATAGTATTAATTTAAACAATATATCAATAAAAATTTCTCTGACACAGGCTCGAAGCTACCTAGAGTCGTTGCCGTACAAGCCGCGTGTTCCGTGGACGGAGCTCTTCCCCGGAGCGGACACTCGGGCGTTGGACCTCTTGCACCGCATGTTGACCTTCAACCCCCACAAACGTATCACCGTCGAGGAGGCTCTCGCACACCCCTACCTGGAGCAATACTACGACCCTAATGATGAGGTAAGTAAAGCCAGATAACTGATAAAATGAAATTCGATTATTATTTTATTTTCAAGGTAGAAATATTGATATTGTGAATATTTCATATTTACAATACCGTCTATATTAAGTTTTAATACTATAAGTTTTGAGACGTCAAAATTCTTAATATCTGCCGTGATGCTTTACAAAGCATTCGAAACTTCGTACGTTGGGAACAAAAAACTAAAATAAAACTGTTTTATATAAAAACGCTATCGTTAAAAGAGAATAAAAAAATATATGAAAATGATGTCAAATGTTGCGTAGTCAGAATATACTATTCCCAAATATTACTTAGTTTTCTATTAGCGATATGGATTGTAGAATATTTTTCTTTGTATTATTATATAAGATAATACATTATTATTGAAAATGTATCACATTTTTCATCTATTTCTAACGTTACCACGCAGTATGTGTCGAACATAAAAATTTTCCGCACTAAAGCAATACTTGGATAATAAATGCTACATAACTCTGTCCATAAGAAAATAAAATATGAGCAGAGCACAGTATAAAAATTTATTTTCTAAAATAATGACTCAAAATGAAGGAATATTTTATAGTGCCTCAATAAATGTCTGTTTAATTTATAATAAGAAATTGTTTATAATAAATTAATTTAGGTAATCCCTATAATTTACGACACTCGCCCCTGGGAAATTGAATTAATAACTATCGGCACTCCTGAGACCTGACCCGTGGATCGAGCGACGGAAAATATATTCCTGCGTATTTACTTAGTAAATTTAACAAATAAATATACTGTTTCAATACAATAATTGTTTATTGTTACTCCATTACGAAACGATCAACAAACTTCATTTATTGTGGCTCCCAAAGGAAAACAATCGCTTGAATATTTTACCATACCTAGTCGGGGATTCGATTACCGTAGCGGAAAAATATTTTTATTCCCCATATAAATAAATAGTAAATAAATAAACACACTCAGTGTCAATTTTCTTTGTTCTGTGGCTAATAGGCGTGCCATTTTACAATTGTATTGTGCCCTTGGTCATTTATTCTATTTTGTAAATATTATTATAACTTTGTAAAAAGTATTTCAATAAAATTATTATTATTAGTATTTGGGCAAAAATTATTTTGCCGATGTCGTTTAGAATGGAGAAGACACGGTAGAGATTGAGAATTGATCGGTTTAAAAAGAAATATTCACTCTCGAGGACTGAAAACTTTTTTGATATATGAGAAATTTATTATTTAATCTGGACCTACAACATATAAGACTTCACAATAAAGTATAATATGTATATAAAAAATAGTTACACATAAAAGCAGATGTTAGTATAAATTAATTAGATATTTTACAATAATTTACAATTTAATATTACATATTGTATCGTATTGCATTTGATTTACATAAAAATTTACATAAGAGACAATACACCTACATTAACAAATAACATTAATGGGCGAGGGGCTTTCGAAGGGAGAACGTCATAAAGAGAATGAAAAAGTTTAGGAAATAAACACACTCATCTGCTACTAAAATGTTGACACAATACATGATCTATCTTGATGTTGACACTTAGACACAACACCGATAAGCTTACTTACTTACCCACGCTTCGATCAGATGCGTCCCTAAGTGCCTAAAAGAAGCCTATGTGTTACTTGAAGTCTTAGTATATGTGTGTACTAAATTTTATCAAAATCAATCCAGCCGTTTATATGTGAAGGAGTAACAAAGGCAAACTTAGACACATATAAACAGATGTGATGTGAATGTTTCCATCGAGTAGGAATCGAGCCTGCGGCCACCTACCTATTGACACAAAATTTTCTTAGAAGGAGTTATATATTAAAACAATTTTATTTTTACAGCCCGTCGCCGAGGAACCGTTCCGATTCACAATGGAACTAGATAATTTGCCGAAGGAGACACTCAAGAAGTTTATTTTCGAAGAAACTCTATTATTCAAGCAGCTGAACGAAAACGCGTAGACGTTCAGCGACAGTTCCGCGTTAGCGAACTGACCTAAGCATGCAAGCTCAATTCAGAATTACAATACCAATTTAATATTTACTCCATAGTAATTTTTAATAAATTAAATATAATGTTGTTAACAAGTTTCAAACGATGAGTGCATTTCGATTGTTTCGTATCTAATCTTATCGCAGCGATTAGTGGAAATTGAACGACAAGTGCAATAATAGAGTGACTAACAGTTCTCATTCGTGAACAGTCAAGGAAAGAGTTTGCATGCTATTTGTCTTGTAATTTCAGAATTTTGCAGTTTCCCACCACGTCGTAAGGTTGGCCGAATGGTCCACCTGGTATTATCACTTGTTTGAGTATTTTCATTGCGTATAATTCGCAGTTTTCCTTCGGTATTATGTATAATTTTATTTTAAGATTCGATTTTTCCATAGTATCTCGGCATATATTTATAAATTATCAGCCCAGAGCTGTCTTGTGATGCCGATTGCGGTCTTTCTAAGAGAATATGAATGCTTTACAACGATTTTATATTAATTCAGTTTTCTTTGACGTTATATAAGTAATTTCAAAGTGATTTGTTTTTTTAAATCTATCTATAAATTAAGTGTACTAAATATGAATAGTGAACGTTCGACTGGATGTAGGAATTTCAGACAGTAGTTAAATACATGACTATAAATAGCTAGGAGTTTTCTCAAATTTATCAACGTTACAACTAGTCTGCGGGTTTGGGACGGCGTTTGGGGGTCGTGTGATGATATTTTACAGTATTACAGCGAATTCGTCTACAAGCACGAGAATTATAAGGGACTACTTGTTCGAAGAAATATACTCAATAGATCCGATAAAGCCTAATTGTTAGTAATCGTACGGTCACGTCTAGTCTAAACTAGAATTGTGGTTTTTTTTTAATTTTCATTACTAACTCCTTGATCCATTGACATCGGAAATAGCCGTTGATTAAAATACTATGTAGTGTAGCTCGAAATTTTAAAAACACACGGCTTAGTGAGTTCTGTTCATATATGAAGAGACAATGTGGGGCATTAGATATTATGATGTTATTAAAACTTTCTAACTGTTTACTGACTTAAACTTATTACGACTGTTCGATTCGAGGTGAAGAGTAAGAAGTATAACGATAGTGTTGTTGATAAAAGTATTAGGAATAACTTGTTTAGGATCGCGTGAGTAGTCGCGGTCATTGTTGAGATCATGTCGGTTTACAGAGCTAATGTAAATATTCATATTATGAATTGTAATGTCTTTTGAAATGTCACTCGATAACTTTTGGAGCACTTATTTCTCATTGATTCTGTAAATTTACGTGTTACGGTCGTTTGGGGCGTTTGTCAAAAAACTTGTTCGATTTCATCGCTTTTAATAATTCTCGTCTTCCTTGTATGTTTGCATGTTGGCGCACAATACGATGTTAGTATAGTCTTCATATCAGATATTTTAAATAGTGATTGATAGATTAACGTCATGTTTTGAAATTGTGCGTACTAAAGGAGTTTTTTAACGAACTGCTCGCGGCCGACTCGTGTTGTGAAGGTATTTGCGGTTAAAGTTGTTATTCTCTAGATGTTTATTATCTGTGAAACGTTTGGTATGGTCGGACCCATTTCGAACTGTGGTTGGTGATTGAAATAAATGGCTGCCTAACAACAATCTCGATAGCTGCAAACTAAGATCCAGTATTGTAGTGTATTGGTGACGTTAGATAAACAATATAACCTATTAAGGCCTATGCACACCACGTTTATTAAGCGCGTTGATTGAACGTATTTTTCTACGCAGATAAATTTAAAAGGCACAAAGGCTTTGTACACCCCAAGCTCCATAAACGTCGACGTTGCGAATATCGTGAATATACGTCATCTATGCATATTCTGTGCTAATAAACCTAAAACAATGCGGATTACATGCGTGTGTATAAAGCGTAACAAGCGCGGCCCGACAGCGCGTTAAAAAGCGACCGTGTGCATATGCCCTTACTATCTAGGTCTTAACTCGTAACCCTTGATCACAACTGCAGTACGTCTATCGGTGTTCTATCGGAACAGATTTTTATTACTAAAATTCGAAATCGTTGTCTGTTAATCGTATTTTTGGGAGCATATTAAATAATTGTCAAGGTTTTTTAATCTAACGTGATGGATCATTTGAAAAGTTTGGTCTTTAAAATTCTCACTAATTCTTGGGGCGTTTGTTGTAATGTATTTAAAGGCTTTATTATATTGGTGTTGTGCTGCCTACTTAAGACTGCAATAATGTAGTTCGAGATATATCACTATTTATAGTCGGGTTGACGCTTTTGGTCTATAAGAATATAATCGATGAGAAAACTTTCATTAACCATCTGCTTGAATTGTGAAAGTTTCTTGATTATATATATTTATTTTGTGTCGATTAAAAAATATCTAAACTTGTTCGTTTATATCTAATTTCAGTATGAATTTGTATAATGCAGTCTTAGTAAAAGTGACGTAAGCGTACACAGCATCATTGGCGTATGTAAGACCAAGTCACCGAAATCGCCTTGTACCTACGTTTTATATAACAAACGCTTTGCGATAAAGCTTATTTTTTTTGCCTTACGAATGCGATTGGTCGTTACGAAACTTTCTTTTTCGATGTAAAAAACATTATGTAAGTTGATAAAGAGGATTATTGGATAAAAACTCAAAGTAGACTTTGATGTCTAAACGAATTGAATTCGATTTTATTAAATAGTTTTATGTTAAAGTTAATTCTTTATTTACAAGCTTCTTAATATATAGATTTTTTCATTATGGACTAACTCAAAAGGGCGAATTATAATCAGCATGATATCTACAATAACGTTAAATTATTTTCAGTCGCCCAAGATTAGATTTTAGTTTAAACAATCGCTATCGTAATGCAATCATTATATATTACATATATTTGAAATTAGCTTGTTCGTACAGTTCTTGAAAATTGTTTCTCTTAAAGATTTACAATTGCTTAATGACAAGTTTTAACGTATTTTTAAGATATAAAACCTCAATTTTATTAATAAAAAGACAATTTATGATTATTGTGGCATAATAGTAGTTGTATTTCGTCATATATGTTAATTGCATCTCATTCGTCATCGATAGCTCGCGTTTATTATTAAGTGTTTCTATTATGGATGTGGAATTTAAAAAAAAAAATTAATTTTCATTTGGCGAGAAAGATTCTAATATAGTAATTTTTCATGTCTTAATATTTTAAACATTCTAGTAACACCAGAATATCATTACGTATTTATTGTTAAAATATGAGTGTTGCCATATTTTCTTAAGTCATTATGTACAAATTGGATATTGTAAGATCATTTGTTATCTGTCAACAGTTGAATATTATGAAAATAAATTAAAAACCAGACATACTTTTGTGTTTTATTATTGAATAAATCTTATTGTTTATTATAACCTAATTATTTAAATAGCTTTTTGTCTTGGACAGGCTCTAATAACTTAAATAATATTAATATTTGGTATAGTTTCTATACATAATATCAAATAGTAACAAAGCGCCTACATGAAATATTTTCTAGAAACATTCACTGTAACGTATTGTGTACAGAATGTAGGTAGACACAAACACAATAGCTATTGAAATTTTTGTCTGTTTGTATATCTGATTATTTTCAAGCAAAAAGTAAGTACTGAATGGATTTTAACAAAATTATGTATAGTTATAAATTATTAGTAGGGTCAACATTTAGGATACCTTTCACTAAAGAAAAATGGTTCCCACGGGCGAACACAAAAACTTGTTCTGTCGAGTTTTACTTGGCTAAAGCTGGCCAAACCAAAAAAGATATGTAAAAATAATGTACGAGAAAATTGTAGGTCTTAAAAATATCTACAAAAACGTCAACAATAGCATACGTCTATATATTAAGGTACACTGCAATAACTATTTTTATCTATTTAAATCATACCTAACACTATAGTAATATAATATTTATGGATTATTCATTTTTTTATTTAATCGATCATCTGTTTATATATATATATATATATATATATATATATATATATATATATATATTAAAAATTAAATTAACCTACAAGATTGTAAGAGGAAATAAAAGGCTTTTTTATTTTTATTTTTTTTATTGATTATTTTAGCTTTTATACCTTAGTAAATCTCCACAACGTCTAAACCTATTTAAACGGGACTGCCACTGATGTAAGGAATTATTTGAGAGTGGTTGATCCTATATTTTCTTAGCATTAGCAAAAGTCGAAAACGTAAACTAGATATAAAGTAATGAAAACGAGAAGTTTTAATTAGTAAAACAGTATCGAAAGTATTAGAATTATGTGGCTCCATTAGATTGATGATCAAGATTGATTGATGTTGCGGACTAAATTATTGCAGCGGACACGCGAAGCCACAGGCTGAAGCCTGTATATAATAGCTGTACTACGGTTACCTCATAAGCTACTCTTATAAATATAATAAACCATCATATGATATTTTAAATAAAGTTATTTGTTAAGTACCTATCTACTTCTCCTTTAAGCAATACCTTAATTTAAAATCCCGCCCTTTTGTAACCCGTTCCTTTGAACTTGTTTAGCGTAGATACTTATACGGTTAGGTTTACGTAATTATAACTTTTAAATAAAAATGTTTCCAAAATCTTTTTTATTACTTTGAAAATTTTATTATGTAACACTTAAAACTAATAATATAAAATAAAACCCCTCTTAAAAGCAAAAAGCTCACATTTGAGCGTGAGTGACACGTACACCATAGGTTATCAGGGGATCAATGCGACCTTTGTTGTAACATCTTATTAGTAATTTTAATTTTTTTAAGTTTTTTAGTTATTGTTAGTAGATAAAAGCCGTCCCTCATTGTTACCGTAGGTTAAATCTTGTTTTTTGTTATATTAAGTTTTGTTGTATATGCATGCTGTGTCTGCATTTAGAAAAATGCAATCCTATGTATTACTTTTGCAAGCTATTTTTATTTT